GCAATGATTGAGTTCCGAGTTCAGCTTCCGACCAACTGATAAATCTGACACTGGTATTTCCGGGATGATAACGTCTGAGCCGCAAAGAAAGCCCTCGATGAAGACACACACACACACACACACACACACACACACACACACACACACACACACACAACTGTAGACATTTTTAGCGACAAGCTTGCTTCTTACTAAATTAAATTTAACTCACAAGAACACTTTGTCTATTAGCCATACGAGCATAATTATGCTATCCACACCTTAGCGGCTCATCCGTTTCGCTCCTGTTGCTCGTTTATTCAGTACAATGATTGAGTCCCGAGTTCAGCTTCCGCTCAACTGCTAAATTTTACACTGCTACTTCCGGGATAAAACGTCTGAGTCGCAAAGACACACACACACACACACACACGACTGTAGTATAGACCTAATTCTAAACAATAGCACTTTTGAAGCTATATCCAAACCCTAGGTACCGCAATGGGAACAACATTGGCACCAACATATGCGATCCTAACATTAGCTTACCTAGAGGAAAACCTCTGTGAAAAGATAGAACAAATAGAAAAACCTTAGATGATTGATTCATTTTCTGGAAATTCTCATGGAGCAATATTAACAAATTCCACACTCTACTTCAGAACTTACACCCGAAAATCAAATTCACCCAAAAATATAATTTTAACGAATTACCATTTTTAGATATCCTCAATAGAAATAGAAACAACCACATTATCATAGATATCTACCACAAACCTACAGACACCCAACAATATCTTCATTTCAAAAGCCAAAATTATCTTTGGGATTACTGTTTAGAAATGATTGTGAGTCCGAATGCGGTTATTTGTAGCTACATTATGGATAGACAACACCATGCGCCATTGTCAAGTATATAGAAATAATCAAGCCAAAACGTAAGACACATGGCCTGAAGATTTCGTTCAAACATGAAACAGACTGTCGCCGATCGGTATTGACCTCAGTGCCAACTTTTGTATTTATGTATAGTATATATATATATATATAGTAATATTTGTATATAGTAATTTCATTATTACTTCGAAAGTTATTTTATTTTACGTTTCGGATACAAAATTAAGCAGATATGCGTTTCGGAAAATCTGTACGAGTCAGTGTGCTTTAAAGGCAAAATAGAACCTGACTTTATCGTGACACTTCGTAGCCGAACGGTAACAGCACGAGTCTATTTAACTCTTAGCTAGTGGGAGAAGTGTCAGATTCAAGCCTTTCCCAAAGGCAGTAGTGCGAAAGTGAATGCATAAGGCTGGGCCAGAACTTGAACTCGGTTCGTCTTTACCCGTGTTGGCGCCGATAGGCTTTATGCTAACCGCACATCAATCCCACTCTTGCGAAACATTCTAAGAAGGCTTATATAGAAGACTGTCCCCAGTTTTGTTTCTTCAGACATGACGTTTCGGCCGATAAGCTCTCTGGTCATCTTAGAATAGTTTTGTTAGAAAGTATTATTATTATTATTATTATTATTATTATTATTATTATTGAGGCATAAAACCTTTTTAGTTTGTGGGTTGAGAATAAATTTAGAGTACACTAGCATATGATAATGTTTAACGCAAAATGAATCGGCTTTCACGAATTCCATAACCCATTAGGGTCGTTGGAGCATCACATATACTTAAGCCATAGTGATTTGTCTTCCTCCAGGATTGGTTACCCTATCAAAGATAAAGAGTCAAGTCTACTGTATTAGTTATCTCATGAGTTATTTCCGTTTTTGAGAACCGGTTGTAATGATGAATGTATTCTTCTAATCATACGCGCTAGATAAGAATAAATTTAGAGTACATTAACATGCCGAAGTGACAACGTACACAACGGATTAAAGGAATCGTATTGTTCTTCTCCATGCAGCAAGAACAATATAGGACAACATTTTGGAATTCGGTTGGTCTGTTCTGTCTCATCCGCCATATCTACTCGACTTTGCACCAACCGATAATTACTTTTTACGATCGCTGTGAAATAGGAAAACTTTGTTCTTATGAAACCCAATCCCAGGACTTCGCTGAAAACTTTTTCGCATCAAAACCTGTGGAATTTTACTCAAAACCTATCGAAGTGTTGCCTGATGTGTAACAGAAAGCCATTGCAAATAATGGAGAATATATAATTGACTAAAATGTAAATATACATTATTTTTTAAAGAATAAAGTTTATAAAGAAAAACAGGAATTATTCATCACTGAACCTTAATGTATAGTTTAAAGAACTAAACATCAACTGCAAGAAGACGTACAGTTGAATGCAAAAGGAATCTTAAAACAACATCAACTCCTTCTATAACGATAAGACGGAAGTTAATACAATTGATTCAAACATTTACAATCCAATGACAGAAGTGACACCAAAGTAATTTAAAAAAAAAAACTTCAATGTGATAAAATAACCAAACATTCTAAATCGAATACAGCTAACCCCAGAAAATATTTTTTCAGCGATCATTGTTTAAAAACAAATATATCAATTAGCTAACAAAACTTTACCTAGCTACATCGTCGATAACCAAAATAAAATGATTCCTATAGAAATGAAACGCCAGCAACATTAAAAACACAGCTCAACGCAATATTAACCTCTTTTATTGTAACGAAATGTATGAAAATTAGAACCAGGATGAATTCTCCACGCGACACATTAGTAAACAATACATTTCACTCGGAAATTCAAGCTAGCATAAAAAAACTTAATATAAAGTATAGAAAAAAAAAAAAAAGGACAAGAAAGAAAGCTACAAAAGTTCCTGCAGAAGGAAGTAAAGGAAAGGGTGAAGAAAGGACTAAGCATCAATTGCAAGGAGACAGAATGCAAAAGGTTGTTAGGAAAAGGATGAGACCAAAATGCAAATTACAAATCGGAGATACAAAAATCAAACAAGTACAAAAATTTAAATATCTGTGAAGTGTTTTCACAGAAGACAGAATCGACGACACAGAACTCCAAAGGCGCAATGATAGCTTCCAAAAACTTCTTATGTGTCGTATCCCCTCCCCTCTGGGTGTAGGCGATCATGGCTCTCCACAATTCCCTGTTCTTTGTCTTTATCTTTCTGTTATTTCTCCTAAAACATGTTCCGCCATCTATTTACTGATGCTCACTAAGTATGTCAAGCGTTGTTTTCCTCTGCCCCCTTGCCCTCTATTTGTCTTGTGAGTATCAGATTTTCCAAGCCCTCTTTTCTCACTATGTGCCCCCATAAATCTCATTTGTCTCTTCCTGATGTTAACTACAAGTTTACAATTTGTTTCCATTTTCTCTAAAACTTCGTCGTTGCTCAGATGTTTAGTCCATGGTATCCTCATTATCCTTCTGTAGAACCACCTTTTTGTTGCTACAAAGCAAAACATTATATATCCATATATTGTCCAGCACTCACTGACATACAGGAACTAGACAAACTCTTAAGAAACAGGAAAACTTCTCGAGAAGCAAAGAAAAAAGTATTGAACGTGATATTTGTCCTCCTGTATGACAATGAACTCTGGAGAATCTCCTCACAGATGAAGAAGAGACTTGAAGTTCTACATATAGATGGTTAGAATACCATGAACTGAACACACGGGCAGTTACGAAAATTTAGAGAAAATAGAAACAAAATGGACACTTTTTTTAGCGAACATCGTTGGAACTGAACACACGGTCGCTCAGTGACAACAGCCTTTCTTAGTTTCAAGCATGTTTTTCAGAATTACTTTATCTTATAAAATTATCTTATGATCCAGGATCGATTTAAAATATATCCGCTAACAACCGGAGACAAATCGATTAGAGAAGGCAGTGTAACGGATTTTAAGCGCAACGAGTAAGTGTAATTATCCGAATAAGAAGATTCTTTGTTTAGCTTTTTTTACCGCCTTTGATTGTTCAATGACCTCTTGAAATTCAAATAACCTTCCCGTCATTCGCCGTTTCTTTCTTATTGCCGACTTCCCCGTCTTCGTCGATCGCTTTTAATCTACTTTGTTGGTTGGAAATTAAAGACAATTCTACGGAGATAACTGACCGCCATCTTGATAAATGAATGGAGACAGAAGGACTTCCGCTAAACACCGTCAACGGTCTGATATCAATGATTATAATAAATACATTTGAACGAATCGAATCGATTTAATTCATTGGATGATATGGAGGAACGATGATAGCAGAATTAGGAAGAGTTTTTGATTCGATATGAATCTAAAAAAAGAACAGGGAAAAATAGCGAGCTATTTTTTTTCTGTGAAATGAGCTAATTTAAATGAACAGTGGGAATGGAAATGGCACTTCTGATTGTTAAGACGACACTTGTATATATATATATATATATATATATATATATATATATGAAATAAATAAATCCTAATGAGGCAGGTACAACCTACCTAGGTTTCACAACATGGGATCATCAGGGTGAACTGGCTCACCCTGATGATGATCCCATCTGGCCTTTCTGTCTCTGATGTCACTTTTCCTTCCTTCCTCCCTTCCTTCCTTCCTTCCTTCCTTCCTTCCTTCCTAGAGCTCTCTTGTTTTCTTTTCTTTCTTTCCTAGCTTCCTTTCTTCTGACTGCTTTCTTTCTCGAATGTTTTTTCCTTCTTTTCTTTCTTCAAACATTTTTTCTTTACTTTCCTTCCCATCTTCTTTTCTTCTTTCTTTTTTTTTCTTCCTTCCTTTCCTCCGTCCTTTCTTCTCTAATTTTTCTTTGCCTTCCTTCTCATTTACCTTTTTTTCTGGTTTTTCTTTCTCTGTTGTTTTTTTTCCTTCTTTCCTTTCTTTAGACCTTTTTTTTCTTTCATTTCCTTATCATCTTCCTTCTCTCTGACCTTTCTTTTCCTTCCTCCAACCTTTCTTTCTCTATATTGTCTTTTACCTTCTTTCCTTCTTTCCTTCCTTCCTTCCTTCTGGTCTTTATTTCTCTAGTGTTTCTTTGCCTTTTTTTCTAATTTTACTTTATTTTCTTCCTTCATTCTGACAGGCTTACGGACACATCACGTGGGAACACCGATTCCAGTGCGACCACCGAAGTTAAGCAACGTCGAGCGTGGTTAGTACCTAGATGGATGACTGTCTGGGGATGCCAGGTATTGTAAGCTTGGATGTCCGAATAGTATAAAGGCCTTATATTGAAACGCCTGTTCTCATACGATAATCGAAGTTAAGCAACGTTCAGCCTGGTCAGTACCTAGATGGGTGACCGCTTGGGAATGACAGTTGTAAGCTTGGATGTCCGAGTAGTATAAAGGCCTTACAGCCATATCATGTTAAAACACCGGTTCCCGTACGATCACCGAAGTTAAGCAACATCGAGCTTGTTCAGTACCTAGATGGGTGACCGCTTGGGAATGTCAGGTGTTGTAAGCTGTATGTGTGAGTAGCATAAAGCTCTTACAGCTATATCTCGTTGAAACACCGGTTCTGGTACGATCACCGAAGTTAAGCAACATCGAGCTTGCTCAGTACCTAGATGAGTGACCGTTTGGGGATGCTAGGTATTGTAAGCTGGGATATGCGAGTAGTATAAAGGCCTTATATTGAAACGCCTGTTCTTATACGATCATCGACGTTAAGCAACGTTCAGCCTGATCAGTATTTTGATGGATGACCGCCTGGGAATGTCAGGTGTTATTAGCTTGGATGTGCGAGTAGTATAAAGGCCTTACAATATAATGTTGAAACACCGATTCTCGTACGATTACCGAAGTTAAGCAACGTCGATCCTGGTCAGTACCTAGATGGGTGTTTTTTCTCTGATGTTTCTTTTCCACCCTTTCGTCTGGCCTTTCTTCCTCTAAATTTACTTTACCTTCCTTGTTATCTCCCTTGCATTGGATCTTTCTTTCTATGGTGTTTATTTTTAGTTCTTTTTCTGTTCTTCCTTTCTCTTATTCTTTATTTTTCTTTTGGCCTTTCTTTCTCTAATTTCTTTATCTTCCATCTTATTTTCCTTCTGAAATTTCTTCAATGTTTCTTTCCATTCCATTCTTCTTCTTTCTTTATTTCTGATCTTTCATTCTCCGATTTTTCTTCTTTTTATTCCTTCTCTCTGACCCATATTCTTTTATTCTTCTAACATTCCTTCTCAGCTTTTACCCATAATCCTTTCCTTCCTTTCTTACTTCCTTTCTACCTAATTTTTCATTCTTTCATTGCTGCAGATTTTCTTTCTCAAGTGCCTTCATTGTTTCGGAAACTCTCCCCCCACGTTCCTCTTCTTACCCTCCCGACCCATCCTTTAATTGTCTTCTCTATCTTTACTCTTTCCTTTTTATAGCAATGTCAACAGTAATCTGGCCGTATGCAAATTACTGGCTATATTGGTGACACAGAATATGCAAATGAGGCAATGAACGGCAAATGATTCTCTGATTGTGATTTCCTCCTGCGTGGACAAAGTCATAACGCAATCAATTCGCTCAGCTCAAATGTCGGAAATTGCAAACTATCGACCAGCGTCCACAAATCGTTCGGTAGAAATGGTGAAAGTTGGAAGCAGCGAAAAATTATATATGGCAGGGAAAATATATTGAGAAATCAAAATGAAGGATAAGTGGAAATAATTATAAAAATGGATATTCTTTCTTTTTCTCTCTCTCTCTTATATATATATATATATATATATATATATATATATATATATATATATATATATATATATGTGTGTGTGTGTGTGTGTTTGTGGAGACACTGAAAAAAGTTCTTTGCCAAAATTTGACTAAATAAAACATTATCAGAATTTTGGAGGACTAAGGCTTCAGGGCGAGATTGGGAACACACACAAACAATAGCCTTTCTGAACTGTGATGCTCTTTGTAGCCAATTGGTAAAGGCTTCCTGGTTCAAACGGTGGTTTTTCCACTCTGTCTGTCTGTCTCTCTCTCTCTCTCTCTCTCTATATATATATATATATATGTATATTTTGTTTATAAATATTTGTATCTATAAAAATAACTTAAAATAACTCAAAATAAGTTAATGCTCTGATTATAATAAACAGTATTAACTACATTTACCGACCGGAATGCCCGAGAAATTTTATAGAAAATATGTGTACGCCGACAAGAATCGAAACTGTATCCTACACGGCTAGACACTTCCTTTCTAGCTAAATCGTATAGCAAGTCAGGCTCTATGACGCTTCTGTCTAGGATGCAAGTTCGATTCCTGTCGGGGAACATATTTTATATGAAATCTCTCTGATTTTCAGGCCGGTAAATGTTGTTAAGACTGTTTATTATAAACTAAGCATTTACTTAAATATTTGCATCTATAAAAAGAACGTATAAGCAATAAATATGTTAAAAATAATTGTCGGAGTTAGTCCATTTCATATTATATATATATATATATATATATATACACACACACACACACACACACACACACACATATATATATATATATATATATATATACACATATGTATTCCTTGTGTCAATTATTACAGGCAATAGGGTAAATTCTACTTTCAAGTTTAGCTTACTATTTTATTTTGTATAAATTAAGTCTTTCATTGTTTTAGAAGTAGTTTTAACAAATTTGATGTTAAGCTTAGATAAATTGTTTTCAATTGTAGTTGTGATAGAATTGGTCGGTAGAACAATATATTTTGATTTCTATATTGTTTTCTCCATATATATATATATATATATATATATATATATATATATATATATATATGGAAAAACGTTCATGAAATTATGTTTCGAAATGCATTTCGCCTATAAGGGTTCAACAGAAAGATAAAGAAAAAACGGGTTTTGTGTCTATGCATTTATGTGTATTTAAAATAATTAAATCTTATATTATTTTTTCCAAGCTGGCGTTGTTCAAGACTAAAAAAGAGAAAGAAAATGAGTGATTTTTAAAAAATCGTTTAACATTGTATATTCTCCGTCTTAAGCGTCCGAGTTTTGAGATAGAAAATCCTTCAAATTGTCCAGAAAATAGATGAAAGAATTGGGTTTATCCATACATTCTCCATGTCGATAGTATATAATAAATTTGGTAATCACGAAAATTTATATATAAGCTATCCAATACTCAGTGGCGTATTGGTTAGCTTACATATAGCTTACAAAGCGGCTTGGATTGAGGAATCGGAGAGTCGAGTTCGAATTCCAGTCGAATCCATTACATTCACTTACGTGCTAATACCCTTGGGAAATGTAGGAATCCTCTTCTTTTCCCCAGCTATGGGTAAATAGCAGGACAGACTGATTTCTATAGCCTTGGATGGCAACTGGTCTACCGCAAAAAGAAATGGCAACCTACTGCGGGAAGAAATCTGCCTCGTCAGTCATGTATCGAAAGATACATAACTGATAAGACACATGTATCAGACATGGCACATAAGTGACCGACTGAATATAACTTATAAGTTATTATCCTGAAAGTAATAATAATATCCGATAATGCATTTCGCCTCTAATGGCTTCATCAGATGAATAATGAAAAATGCTTTTTTTGTGTGTGAATGCAGTTGTGTGTTTAAGATAATTAAATCTTATATTATTTTCCCTAAGATGGCGTTGCTCAAATAAAAAAGAAAAAAAAAAACGAGTGTCTGATGAAGTCATATAGGCGAAATGCATTATCGGATATTATTTTCGAAACATACTTTCATGAACGTTTTTCCAAATGTAATAACTTATAACTCTGTCGGGATTACATACCCAAATTTAATATATATATATATATATATATATATATATATATATATATATATATATAAAATACTAAAACTTTAAACTTGTATACCTGTATGTGTGTGTGTTCCCAATATACAGGTTAAATAGTACAGTAAACGTAAGAGCATATTTTACCTTAAAGCCTTGTCGTCTGCAGTGCCAAATTACACTAAAATTAGACATAAGGTTCTTGAGCTAGGGCCGTTTTTTTTTTTTTGGCGGCTTTTCTAATAGAAAATTCATTATTTGTTTTCAATCACCTAAAATCAATACGCGTATATATATATATATATATATATATATATATATATATATATATATGTGTGTGTGTGTGTGTGTGTGTGTGTATATATATATATATATACTTGTATATTATATTCCAACTATTATGTGTGTGGAACATTAAGAAACATGTATAATAAAATATAACAATAAAATAAATAAATTTAAATATGCATAATGCAACATGTATTTATACAATTCACTACACTATATTGTATTTTTTTTTTTTATAAACAAATATCTCTGATGTTTGGTAAGTACGTGATTGGTGAAGAAGACAGTATGCGTGTGTGTTATTGTAAAGCGTAATTTGTATGGCTGAAAAATTGTGTCACATGACTTGATGTTAAATAGATCCATGATGTTTTTTCAGCCGTTACTTATTTTTAAATAAATGTGAGGAAAAAACAAATATGTTTAATAAAAAATATAATTATTATTTTGAAAAGATTACCTAGAAAAAGTGAAACTATTTACACAAAAAGAAGGCATCCATATTTGATTTTATTCAAATAAATATGAACCTTCTTAAGGAGACGATTGCTGTTTGTTTTTGGCAATTTTTTTATGACCCTCACCTTTAAAATTATATGGTAAATACGAAAATTGGTATAAATTGTCACCACCGGGGTTACTATTAATTGAACAGAAAGGTCTTTAGGGTTATATCAGTTTGCAATTCAATTCTAAAAAAGTTCACTTTTTCGTAAGTTTAAGGGTAATGTTTTCCCCTTCTGACAATTTAAGTGCTATTATTAAATAATAAAATTAATAGCAACCGACCGAAACTGAGAAGTACTGCTGAAGAAAAAAATTGAATCCGGCAGAAATCGAACCTGCATCCTTTTTTTCAATCAAGGAAATTATTTTTAGAGCCTCTACCAGTTCTCTCACTGAGCCAGCCTGACAGAGCAATATATAACAATATGTAATGGCTGTCGTTTTGTTAAACGAATGTGACCATCCATGACTTGTTTAATCTAAGGTTTTAGTTCTTGTGAAAGAAGGGGCGAAGATGACTTTTTGGAGATAAGCTGACATCCCCTACTTCTTTTATATATTTCACTTTTTGCTCTCACCCAGAACACACACACACACACACACACACACACACACACACACACACACACACACTTCTTACAAGAAGCGTATTGGCGAAGCCTTTCGTTCTATTAATGAATTTATTCAGATGAATAACGGTTTAATTGATCGAATCGGTCATATATAAAAGCAACGGAATATTGCTGTCATACATGTCCTGGTGCCCTCGACAAAAACCAGAGACGGATATGCAATATGATAGGTCCTGAACTGTCAACTAGTTTACAGTCGCTTTCTCACAGACGTGCCGTATTTTTATGGCAACTGTTCCGACGATCTGGTTCCCAGACTGCATGAATTTAAGCGTGCTACTAGGTTGGCATCTCAGTCCCACCCTTTCACTGTCGAAACGGTTAAATGTAACCGTCACTTCTACTCAAATAGCTTCTTCTCTCGCACTTCTTGTCTGTGGAATTCTCTTCCTCTTACTTGCTTCTCTGACAACTATAATCTTCAAATATTCAAATGTAATGTCAATCAACATCTGATAACTTGATCTTGTTCCCCGCCCTTCCCTTTATCCTCTCCCCAAACACGACTCTTTACTCTTGTTC